CCGGGGTGGGGGACCGTCCCGTGCAGGACGCGCTGTCGGGCCCTGGGGTGACTCACAGTTTGTCCCTGCGAGCAGCAGAGCGGTCAGGGAGGGAAAACAAGAGCAGTTAATGCACGTCCCAGGGGGGGCGGCCAAAAAGGGGGCCAAAAGCGCGGGCAGGGCACCAGCACGGGCATCCCAGCACCGGCATCCCAGCAGGCACAGCTGAGGAGCACGGGCCACGTCCCATGGTGGGGTTCAGTCCCCTCCAGGAGACCCCCAGATCCTCCAAGCAGGTGGCGGTGGGGGGAACTCGCTGCACCCCAGGGGCTTGGGAGAGGTTTCGGTTTGGCAAAACCAACGTGGCCATCACAAGGGTCCCACCAAGAGCGTGGGCCTCCTCTCCAAGGGGCTTCTTCTCTCCTCCCCCCATCCCCTGGGTCTGCACCGTGCGTCCTCAGCTGCACCCCAGCCCCGCATACCCCCCAAAAAGGAGCCCCCCTTATACCTCTCGCAGACGCGCACCGTCCAGGCGGCGATGATCCAGGAGGAGATGCTGAAGACCAGGAGGACGGTGCCAGGGCAGATGGTCATGAGGGTCTTCATGACGAAGCGAGTGTTGAAGTTGATCTTGTTGAGGGCGCCGATGCTGCGGGAGGAGGCGTCGGTGAAGAGTTTGCTGTGCAGCAGCATAACGCGCCCGATCAGGTACAGCCGCAGGAACATGGGGATGGAGAGGATGATGTCCACGTCGGCATCAGCCACCGAAGCGGCGTAGGTGAAGGCCAAGCGCGCTGTCCAGGTGAAGAGGTACTGCCCGGGGATGGGGTGGATGGCGCAGACAATCAGCTCCAGGGCGATGAAGAAGATGCGCTCGTAGGTCATGGCGATGCGCCAGTCGTCGGCGCCGTTATCCACCATGAAGAGCTGCGGGGTGGGGGGGGAAGAACGAGGCGGTGAGTGGGTGGTGTGACCTCCGGGGTGGCCCCGGTGAGCCCCCAGGGGTGGGCGCCCCTCACCTGGATCTCCCTGGCGTGGTACATGACAATGAGCCCCAGGAGGATGAGGGTCGAGAGGCTGATAAGGCATTTCAGTGCAAACGAATACGACGACTCCTGCGAGGGGAGCGGGGGAGCATGAGCCCAGCCGGACTCCCCCAGCTCCAAACCCACC